TAATAGGTGAAAGAGAGTATAGAAACATTAAGAATTTGGTAGTAAATAGATTTCGTATTTAGTTAGCATTATATTTTATTGAAACGCTTCAAGTGCCTGTGCTGCGGCTTCTCTGTTAGGCCACGACGCTTGCTCCCGGCGCAAACCCGCGCGAACTTCGCGTGCGCGTCGAATTTCATTATGTACGTGCGCTACTTGCGTGCGTTGGTTGAATTTGCTTGCGTGTGCGCGTGCGCATTTTCGTTGTGCATGTATGTGCGTGCTTGCATCAGTTTGCTCGCGTGCGTGCATCGATTGTGTGTGCACGTACACGCGTGCGTGTGTGTCTGTGAGAGTGTGTGCGTGTGTGTGTGCGTGAGTTTGAGTGTATGTGCGTGTGCGTGTGCGTGTGCCAGTGTGTGTATGGTTTATGATTTCTGACATTTGTCTTTTGTGACGAGCGCAGAAGGTAATGCATGACGAGTGTGAATTGGTAGAATTTGCGCGATAGATAAACGGGTACAAACAGACAGACAGAGATGGAAATGCGAGGGAGAGCGCGTAAGCGCGGCTGAGACGAGATAGAATGGCGGGCGGACAGACAGATGAACAGATAGAGGCAACCAGGCAGAAGGACATGAAAGGCGTGGTTAATGCATATCGAGATAACCACCACTGCATACCTACAATCCTTCATAATCAAACTTACAATTGCTTCTACTACATGTCTTGGGGCAACAAAAATAAACGGGATAATTTATTCATACGCTGGACCTGGGATGTCGGGTGTATGAATGCTGCTGGTACGCTCTGATCATGAAGACGTAGAATGACAGTGCTGTTCTATTCTTGAACCTCAGATTACCGAATACTTCAGCGATCCATCTTCGTCGCAGTAGCAAAGTTATCGAGACTTCTGCCAACATGCGCACGCGCACGCATTAACCGTAAGGTGCGTAAAGGATGCTTGCCCTTACCTTTGGTCAGTCGTTCGCTGCTGGTGGATTACCATAGCCACAGCGGCTTTGTGTAATGTCCGTTTCATTGAAACTTGCGTCGTCGGCTTTTCTGGCGATCCCTTCCTTACATTCTTTCGACATTCCGTGCATGTTAGAGTACCGAGGTGTGATGGTGTGGGAACGGTAATGTTCGATTGGTAAGGGGAGGAGTAGAGCGTTTGGTGGGATGGCGTCGTTAAACGATGTTAATTTCAGGTAAAACGATGAGAGAGTTAAGTTGTCAGCTTCGTGCGTGCAAAAACCTCTACATTAAATCTCAAGGTTCATCATTTTAATGTCGTAGTTAAACGCATGACCACCGTGAGTATGTTTAGTTATACTGCTCTGTTTCATACCCTCGAGTTACAGTGCTAGTTCACGTTGCTTGCCTAAACAATGCTCATGCGTGCAAGTTGTGACAATTCCGACACTGTTTATTGCGTTCGGCTTTATCGCTCTGCTTGGATCCCTCCAAAGCCGTTTTATTGTTGTATTGTATAGTCAATTCCATCATTTCATGGAAAAGCTCTTGTAACCCTTTTAATTTGGGGAATTCTTCGGCAAATACCGTGCGTAGTATGCCTCCCGTGTGACAGTGAATGGCATGCGCGTAAGTACAACGCGTGCTTGCGTGCGTGAGGGAGGGAGGGAGGGAGGCAGAGCCGTCAGCATGCGTGGCCGCATGCGCTGTCTGTCACGCTCGGTCGGGCTGCGTGCCCGCGGCCATGGCGGGCGTATACGCTGGAGTCGTACGGCTGTCGGTTCGCAGTCACTGCTCACGATCCGAGCGTCTGCTGTGCGTGCGTGTCTCAGCAAAGCTTCATCTCTCCCCCGGCATTAGCGCCACCGCTACTGCTGCTGCTGCTGCTGCTGACGGCACGCGAAGAAAAAACTTCTTGCCGGCAAAGAAAAAGTTTCGCAAGTTGTCTCCGGACACGTGCGACTGGGGATTGAACGCGGCGGGCGAGCGATCGCGCTCGAGGATTAGCGAGTGTGGGGAATGTGGGAGAACCGATCGTTGCGATAGATAGCGACGGGTCGATAGAGCTACAGCGATCGTTGGCAACGCGAAACCGACGGCGAAACACGCGTGTGACGGAGCGTCCACAGCCGCACCCCTGCCTGCTCGACGTGACGAGCCCGCTGTCAAGACACACCGATCCAACAAAGGCGGATTCACGGCGCTTTACTCGGTAGACCCGCGGATTGAACCTGTCCCGTCGGACCTGGCGTACGCCGCTGGCAATCGCGTATGTCGTGGCGATCCGTCGAATAGCGAACAACAGTTTTCTATGAGAGAGAGTGTGCGTGTGTGTGCACCTCACGTATCACCTCGCGTGTCGGCGCAGTGACCACGTATATCTAACCCCAGCAGTGCGCGCGTGTGCATGCGCAGCGTGAGGAGAGACAGGGAGGTCGAGGTTGTGGTGCTCGCCAACGAGACGTTCTCACGGGGTTTCGTTCATCGTGGGTAGACCCGTTGCCAACACGTTGTCACCACATTGTCACGGCTGTCAATCACCTGCTGGTTGTCACGCGACACGTTCACAGGTGTCGCAGCCACCGGCGACGGTCGCCGTCAGCGCCGCTTGTGTACACGGGCATTAGACGCAGGTCGCGGGAGCGGGGTTAGATTAGACGGGCAGTGTGAGACAGCGGCGTGTGCTTGAGCGAGCGACGTGAGTGAGTGTCGTAGATTGTGGTGTTGTTGCTGCTGATCAACCGATCTCTGCGCGACGTGGACAACGTACCGCGGGTAGCTTAGAGATCTAGAGGAGAGGAGACGCGAGGCTGCAATATAGTAGAACGCAGGCTGGAGATTTGTTCGCTGGAGAATACTGGCCTTGGTAGCATGACGGTTGCAAAGGAGAAGTGCGAGATGAAGACCAAGAAACACAAGATCGTCACGTTCAAACTGGTAAATCTTCATTGTTATGTTGTTAACACAGACGTCATAGGGAAACACTGATTAAGATTATTGTCTTAATATATAGTTATAGTTATTATATCCCGTATATAGTTATTCGATTATAATGATAATTCTTGTTCCCATGTAAGTCTTGCAGCGGTAATAGGGAAATCCCCTTAATATTTACCCCTGGTATATTTACATACACACATGCAAATACATAGCTCAACATATGAGTTCAGTGTCAGCATGACGGCATTATAACTGTATATAATGTATAATATTATATATATCGTATGCGCACAATATCATCAGGCGTCTCTCCCTGCGTCTCCTGCATGCACGGCTCCTCTCTGTCCCTGTCGCCGCGCCTGTCCGCGTGATTTTACGACTGCATGCACCCATGGCTAGCTGCAGCGGTCATCAGCCTCGGCGGGTTTCCAAGAGCAGACGCGTAATCACCGGTGAATTGTCGGTCGCTCAGTCTAGTGCATTTACGCTCCGTTTGTTTGCCGGGGCTCGTCCGTCCATGATGGCGCACGCTGGCGGGACCTGTGATGTGCTGATCAGCCCTGAGATAACAGGCTGCACTCTGATGAAGGGTTGAACCGCTCAGGGTTGACCTATCCCCTATGAGAACGTTCTAGCACATTTGCTATCCTGTACGAAAGATTTTTAAGGGATGTATAAACGCTTTAGTTCAATGATTTTCTTCGTATATTCAAATCAAAGATAGATGCGAAAGTGTTCCGTCCGGCGCCTGAATTGGGCGTTTATAATAGCCAGTATTAGGTAAATCGTGATATCAGGACAGCTCGAGTGATTTTAGGTACACGCCTTTGAACTTGAGGCGTGTATATGATACCGCTATTCTTGCGTTACAAGATATATACCGGTTTCTATGTTCATGTGATGACTAAATACATGCTGATTGTATAATTGGGTAACTCAGATTAAGTAGCTGTTTGTGAAAGATGTAGGTCGCGGTTGCTATAGGTCGCTACCTCCAAATGTTGGAACTAACACACAAGAACACCGCGTCTTGCAAACCAGTGTTTTACGTTCGCATTTCAGCATCGTCATGCACAAATGTCCGTATGCTGTACTGAGCTGCCTGCCACTCAGCTAATATGTATTAATTATAATATATATAAGTATAATTATTTTAAATGTTATCTGAAAATTATTACAAATGTGGAACGTCTGTGAGTTTTCTGCTAGCGCAAGAGACGCGCTCGTTAAACAGCAAACTCAGCCAAAAGTTAATAGGCGTCGCATGTGAAAACATACTAACTGGAGGGAGAGGCACTATAAGCCTTCGTAGGAAAGAGGCTAGCTCAATCTTTGCCGTGGACACTCAACCTACATTTTTTCACAAAAACATCTGAACGACCTGCTCAACAAAGTTGTTAGCACCATTGCTGTAGTGGTCAGTCAATTCACCTGCACATAGCTCGTATCTATATATATATGGGTGAAGCACGCGTAGGCGACGCGGTCCGTCCAGTCGACCGCAATCGGGTATCGTCGGTTAATCAGGGCGGATTTGCGTCGTTAGCGACGTACGTCGTCGTCCGACAGACCCACTGTTGCGACACTCTTTTGTTGGTGTGCTGCTAGATTCGCCAATCTCTGGGTGTTATGATGGTCCCGTTTTTTAAAAGGAAACCATAGAGATTGGCGTGCCACAGAGATCGGCTTGTGGAACGCAATAACTAGCACGCTATAAATTAAAAATTAAAGTAGTTTTCGGGTGTAAACTCGCTAGTGCTCATTGTCTTGCGGACGAGCCCACCCAGCTTTCACTGCGGCCGTGGTCTGCGTAGGTAGTTAAAAGCTACGGTACTACAAAATCATGACAGTAGCACGTTTGCGTTCAATAAACACATTCGGAGAGTGATAAACGTCGAGATAAGTGATAAGAGAGACTCCAATAAGGAACTACAATAACTAGAGCAGTGTGTTGGTATCGCAAAGACAATTCTATTCAATGTATACGGATAGCCACAAGATTCTACGATGACATCTAACATTCCATCAAAGACATCTGTATAAGGATATATTCTTTAGTAGTACATGGGCACACTCGCTCATCTAACTAGCTGTCCACACAGCGCCGACGTATTTGCATTGCTAGAGGTCAGAGTTAGATCTGAACAGGTCATCTGCGAATATTCTCTAGTTTAAGAGGGAATTTCGTTCAAAGTCGATCAAAACGCAAAACAGCACGTCATCCCACGTGACAGGGCGCGGACCAGCCGCGGCGACCCGTCTATTCTTGCTGTTCTCTGATGTTCGTCTGATGTTAGAAGATTATATCGGCGATGCTATAGCTAACGATAGCTGGTCCTGCACCCACGGCCTTGCCCGTGCGCGCGCCTTTGTCTTCTGCTGGGCGTTGCAGACGCCGTGGCTGTTCACGGCAGGGATGTCTTCTTACACGTGTGCACGCCGCATAGCGTGGATCCTGCGGCTCACAGGCACTTGAAGCGTTTCAATAAAATATAATGCTGACTAAATACGAAATCTATTTACTACCAAATTCTTAATGTTTCTATACTCTCTTTCACCTATTATTGCCGACAGTTTCCTGTCAATTCCGTCCAAATCCTACGTGCAACCATATACGCTGCCGGCGACATTTCTCTCGCGGCTCCACTGTTGCACGCTTACACTAATATATATATTAGTGTATATATATACTAATATATACTATATTACTACTACTATAACTACTCTATATATATATACTACTCTCTATACATAACTCTCTATACTATATATACTACTCTCTATATATAACTACTCTCTATATATATACTACTACTATATATATTAGTGTAAGCGTGCAACAGTGTAGCCGCGAGAGCAATGTCGCCGGCAGCGTGTATGGTTGCACGTAGGATTTGGACGGAATTGACAGGAAACTGTTGGCACTAATAGGTGAAAGAGAGTATAGAAACATTAAGAATTTGGTAGTAAATAGATTTCGTATTTAGTTAGCATTATATTTTATTGAAACGCTTCAAGTGCCTGTGCTGCGGCTTCTCTGTTAGGCCCCGACGCTTGCTCCCGGCGCAAACCCGCGCGAACTTCGCGTGCGCGTCGAATTTCATTATGTACGTGCGCTACTTGCGTGCGTTGGTTGAATTTGCTTGCGTGTGCGTGTGCGCATTTTCGTTCTGCATGTATGTGCGTGCGTGCATCAGTTTGCTCGCGTGCGTGCATCGATTGTGTGTGCGCGTACACGCGTGCGTGTGTGTCTGTGAGAGTGTGTGCGTGTGTGTGTGTGTGTGTTTGCGTGTATGTGCGTGTGCGTGTGCGTGTGCCAGTGTGTGTATGGTTTATGATTTCTGACATTTGTCTTTTGTGACGAGCGCAGAAGGTAATGCATGACGAGTGTGAATTGGTAGAATTTGCGCGATAGATAAACGGGTACAAACAGACAGACAGAGATGGAAATGCGAGGGAGAGCGCGTAAGCGCGACTGAGACGGAGATAGAATGGCGGGCGGACAGACAGATGAACAGATAGAGGCAACCAGGCAGAAGGACATAAAAGGCGTGGTTAATGCATATCTAGATAACCACCACTGCATACCTACAATCCTTCATAATCAAACTTACAATTGCTTCTACTACATGTCTTGGGGCAACAAAAATAAACGGGATAATTTATTCATACGCTGGACCTGGGATGTCGGGTGTATGAATGCTGCTGGTACGCTCTGATCATGAAGACGTAGAATGACAGTGCTGTTCTATTCTTGAACCTCAGATTACCGAATACTTCAGCGATCCATCTTCGTCGCAGTAGCAAAGTTATCGAGACTTCTGCCAACATGCGCACGCGCACGCATTAACCGTAAGGTGCGTAAAGGATGCTTGCCCTTACCTTTGGTCAGTCGGTCGCTGCTGGTGGATTACCATAGCCACAGCGGCTTTGTGTAATGTCCGTTTCATTGAAACTTGCGTCGTCGGCTTTTCTGGCGATCCCTTCCTTACATTCTTTCGACATTCCGTGCATGTTAGAGTACCGAGGTGCGATGGTGTGGGAACGGTAATGTTCGATTGGTAAGGGGAGGAGTAGAGCGTTTGGTGGGATGGCGTCGTTAAACGATGTTAATTTCAGGTAAAACGATGAGAGAGTTAAGTTGTCAGCTTCGTGCGTGCAAAAACCTCTACATTAAATCTCAAGGTTCATCATTTTAATGTCGTAGTTAAACGCATGACCACCGTGAGTATGTTTAGTTATACTGATCTGTTTCATACCCTCGAGTTACAGTGCTAGTTCACGTTGCTTGCCTAAACAATGCTCATGCGTGCAAGTTGTGACAATTCCGACACTGTTTATTGCGTTCGGCTTTATCGCTCTGCTTGGATCCCTCCAAAGCCGTTTTATTGTTGTATTGTATAGTCAATTCCATCATTTCATGGAAAAGCTCTTGTAACCCTTTTAATTTGGGGAATTCTTCGGCAAATACCGTGCGTAGTATGCCTCCCGTGTGACAGTGAATGGCATGCGCGTAAGTACAACGCGTGCTTGCGTGCGTGAGGGAGGGAGGGAGGGAGGCAGAGCCGTCAGCATGCGTGGCCGCATGCGCTGTCTGTCACGCTCGGTCGGGCTGCGTGCCCGCGGCCATGGCGGGCGTATACGCTGGAGTCGTACGGCTGTCGGTTCGCAGTCACTGCTCACGATCCGAGCGTCTGCTGTGCGTGCGTGTCTCAGCAAAGCTTCATCTCTCCCCCGGCATTAGCGCCACCGCTACTGCTGCTGCTGCTGCTGCTGACGGCACGCGAAGAAAAAACTTCTTGCCGGCAAAGAAAAAGTTTCGCAAGTTGTCTCCGGACACGTGCGACTGGGGATTTGAACGCGGCGGCGACGATTCGCGCTTCGAGGATTTAGCGAGGTGTGGGGGAATGTGGAGAACCGATTCGTTGCGATAGTAGCGACGGGTCGATTAGAGCTACAGCGATCGTGGCAACTGCGAAACCTGACGGCGAAACACT